CAAAGCAATTATAATTAGAGATGGAACAAGACACAATTCCCGTAAGATAGATACAAGATTTGGTCCACTATGCCAATTTATAAAACATAATATAAACTATGCAGTTAACAATTGTGATCTCTCAATTTTTATTGTCATTGTGGCACTGCTTTTTGGAACCACTGCTTCTCAAGAGGCATAACTCACCAGTGTTTATCATTTTGTCCAAACGCAAACTAGTTCATTCTCATGTGTGCACAATCTTGTGGTAATTCTATTTTGCGAGATCTTGTAACATGAGATCTTATCCTACCCCTAATTACAATACAGACACATTTGGTCAGACAATAAATTAAATAAATAACTCAACCGTTGTAATTAGTTTGCTTGGAAAGCGAGTTCCTCCTACTTTCTGTTGAACACAAGAGGGTCCAAGTGCCCAATTTTGGGGTTGATCCAATCACAGCCACTAATTTGTAGCATGTGTCTTTCAAAAGTGGAAGACATCTCATCTTGAATATTCACAACAAAACCTTTCATCTCAGATTCATGTATTGTGATACTGCATAAATCAGCACTGTTTCTCTGTCCTCTGTATTTTTTTCATATTAAGTCGCCATGTTTGTTTTGACTTGAACAGACCAAATGTGAAGACAGCATTTCCAGACCACACGTCTTTGTAAAGTAAAAGTGTGTGGTCTTGGCTGCCCAGGTAAATGATCACTATGCAGTAATTTATAGGGTCAAATCTCTTTTTTGCACATCTTGAAACAGATGTGCAATACATCTGTTTAAGATATTTTCAAATTCATATAAATGATTTATAAATTAGTTATATAAGCAAGATCAATCAAAACACAAATTTAAAAAAAATCTACCATATTATTATAGCCATATCCTTACAGTATACTAGGCTTGTCAGATATTAAATTGATAAAAAACTAGTACCGAAACTAAATACTCATTTGAGCAGGTATCGACACTAAAAAGTCACATTCACCGGACAAAAATGAACCCTTCCTTAATAGATTTACAATGATCTTGAGCTGTGTCAGAACAAGTATAAGACCACATAGACAAGTAAAAACTCATGGACCACTATAGACCTACTTAGATTACTGAGGGTTTACACAGATATAAGGCTACATATTAATATAAAGGAACAAATGTACACCTGAATAAGCCTGACCAAAGAGACGGCTGAAAACGTGACCTCCATGTTCAGTGACATGAGCTGATGAGACGTTTGGAGGCCATTACTCAGCAGCAGCAAAGAGGATGCACAAGCTGTGAGGAATGACCAATGATGTGCCTATTATCTGGCAACACAAGGTCAACAAGACTAATATATAATGGACAATGCGACAAAGTCTGGGACAGGCTTTGAACAGAGAGAAACATTTCAGTACATTTATAGAAGAAAAATCAACACTTGAAAGAACTACTGGACAGAATTGACCTTGACCTCAGTTAAGGCAGCGAGCGTAAAACTTGCAATGGTAAAGAAATGGTGCCTGGCTTTGAACATGTTCTCCCAAGTCATGTATTGTATTTTACACTCATCCATCAAAAAAATATGAATAAGACATCCTCCAACTAAAACCTCATGACCAAACTTAGCTACAGATCTAGTGATGGGTCCTTAAAAACTCCAAAGTTGCTGCAAACTGCTCCTGACAGGTTTCACAAGTGACATTGTTGAAGGATGGGTCAAGTCTCGAGAAGAAGTTTAATATGGGACAACATAGAAACATTAAAGGTCACCATGCACTTTTCCAGATGGAGGGTCCATTTGCATGCTTCTCTCTGTGGAGTTGTTATTGCTTCATCTGGAATCTTCCACAGTATGACATCAACATTTTCTATCTCCATGGAGACAAGCAGGCCAAATTACAATTCAGATCTGAGCGAGAGGTGACTCCACTCACAGTAAGAATACAATAACAGAACATAGCATCAGCTTGTCCTGTATAAAACATGAGCAGAATATCCATGCATTTACTGTAGTTCATCCATGACTGCACACCCATCCCATAAGAATCCATGGACAACCTTTAACATTGACCTTTCAGTAAACCAAAGTTATGTTTGAGGGCCCTGCACGTCACACTGAACAAACAAACGTAGTACAAATACAGCTACACATAAGGCATATGGAGGGATAGTAAATAAAGATGGGATATTGGTAGAATTTGTTGACTCAGACATGTATTGACATAATATTCCCCAGATTTTACAGTGCTGATCCAAAACCAGAGTAAAAGCTGACAGGAGATCATTTTCATTTCATTTAAAGTAAATGTACATATTATCATAGTGATACAACTAAGTTAATACTAATGCATTCATTAAAAAGGCTAACTTTATGACATGAGGTCAAACAAGTCTTACAATACAAAGGATTGGTTAAATGGGGTTTTAATCCATGTTCCTAACCAATATCTTGTATCAGATTGAGCACCCCATACCAATAGTTATGCAGTATTCTACTTCATGTTTTTAACCATTAAGATATTAAATAATTATCAAAAATCAACCACATAAGACCTTGAAATATCATATTATTCCTAATTATACCTTATACATAAGACAAGGGATCATGAATTAGCAGAGTCAATCCCGGTTCAGACCTCATATAGACCTACGTCAGACTTGATAGTCTTAATCCTGGTTTAGACCTGGTTTAGTCCTCGTTTAGTCTTGCCCTATCTGCTGTAGTTCTGATCTGATCCTGGTCATTAAATGTACTTTACCTAGCTGAATCATGGCTTCTAGGCTTAGTCCTGCATTATGGATTTAGTCATATATTCAGTGTTTGTTATGCCTCCTATAGAAAACAACAACACTGTAGTCTGTATAATGTATTACAGAATTTTTCAAAATAGATTTTTATCATTTATTGAATTACCTAAACGATAAACAAACATTTATCACCATAAACGCTTTCATAAAACTGAATGAAGCAATGCAGCGGGCATGTCTACCCTAAGGCTTTTTCGCTCAGAGATTTAAATGGATTGACCTTCTTTGCCCGTAACTTTGACAGGAATTCAATATTGATCACATCAGAGTTTATACCTATATTAAACATTCATGAGTGACCCGACACAGTTCTACCACTGATTTAAGGCTTTAATCATATACGCATATTTATCTGTATTCAGTGTGGCTATGTAATGTGCGCTTAACAAATCTGCCTGTCACTGAGGAAAAGGCTGCTGACTATAGCGTGATGTTTACTGATGGAGCACAGGTGTCAATTTAAAGTCTAGATCCGCCCACAACACCGCTCAAGGTTAACGATACCGCGTGGAATGTCTGTATCAAAATCTCATCTGGTTTTGATCTAAAGTGAAATGAAAGAGACATACTACACCACATTGCATCATAAACACAAATGGTTTAGGTGTAGTGTAGAAAATAAGCAATAAAAATGAAAAGGGGAAAAGGTTATGAAAATAGACAGCTGGTTGATTTGCACATTTGAATAGGGTCAACAAGATTTCAAATAAACTTTATACATTGTAAATTTTCATATAACTATTCTATTCCAACATTGACAAAAAATAAACTCCCAACACAATTAACCCTCTGCCAACAACACCTGACTGTACAGCCTGCAGTATGAGCTCTTCTCATTACTTTTAATTATATGGAATACTTATGGCTAATCAAAGCTAATTTAGGACTTGGTAATGAGTTCATTTAAAAACAGAAAAAAAAATCTGTCAGTTGAAAAATTGTATTGTTATTTTGATGTATTTAGTTTGTTGCAATATTGATTATTGCATCAGGCAATATCAATACTTTTGCAACATATTTTGCAGCCTGCAGTCCTACTCAAATATGCTTTACATTGTATTATTAATGTATATTCACTCCGAAGTCGCAGGTACCCTAGGGAAGATCTCTAACCACCTGAGCCACTGTCGTCTCATGTGTACTTTGCATGTTCTATCTGTGTTTTGGTACTACACGAAGTGTGATATGGGTCCCTGGGCGCTGGACCTGTCTGGCTGCCATAGTGGTAATGGACACATTTTGCCCACAGGCACAATATCTTTACATCGGCTGTGAAACACATTCACTGTATGCATACAGCACATGTCCAACATCGGATTGGACTGCTCACATATCTGAAAGTAAACAGTACATATTAAAATGTCTCCGTGTGGGCACAGATGGAGCTTTCTGATGCCACACAGCGTCTCTTTGAGAGATCAAGTTAACAGGAGGTGCCAATCAAATTACACGAACCACTGTGCCTCAGAAAAAGCAGTTATGAAACCAAAAGAAACAGAGTTTACATAATCATGGATGGTACAAGGCAGCCTTTCACTGTCCATTTTGAGGCCAAGGAAATGTTAAACTAGAAACAGAATTACAAGATTTATCTAAGGATCTATCTTTCTAATCTATTTTATACTACTGTTAATCACAGGCAGGGTCACAGCAAGAGCAGGTTTGTGAGTGCTAAACAGTGCTGGTTAGATAAACTTAAATACACGCATCCCCCTTTAGTGGTTTGTAAATTGGGGGATATAGAAAAACACTGAGCAGTGAAGTTAAAAGTGCAACTTTTCTTTTGGGGGTTCCACAACCTGCGTGTCTCTGAGGAGATGCTATTGCTTTGCTTGTAATGTTCCACAGTACCACATTAAAATGCCTATTTCACATTTATTCAATTATGAGTATTTTAATTGCCAAAAAATGCTTTGAAAAACATTTATTCTTGCAGTAAGTGGTCACCTCTTGACAGATCTGACATGTAACACAGATTATTGCTTCAGCTGTTGTGTCAAGTATATAAAACATCCCAGGCAACATAATAACATCTCTACAGAAACAAGCAGGTGGTGGAAACTTTACCAAAAAGTTACATAATGAAGCTTTAAATGCAATCTGGCAAATGCAGTCAAACTAACAGTTTTGATAAAGAATTATAATGTACTGGTTCTTATTGTTGTTAAGCTGAGCGTTGCATTCATCACATGTGCTGTAAACATGGCAAAGCTGCTCACCTGACAGGCATTGTAGAGCAGCTGATGTTCAAACTTCCTGATGCCGAGGATTTGCTGAAACATCTCATAGAGCTGCTCTTTACTGAGGATGAGCTCAGACACTGCACTGAGATGAGCCCTCTGAGGCCCACGCCGCAGCTCCTCGTCCCCCCTGTAGATGGCGTCATACTTGGCGATCCAGGAGCTCAGCACGGTCTCTTTGCTCAAACCGTCGATCTCAGGCAGGCTGCGGACACGGCGCTCAATGTTCTTCTTAAAAACCTCCCTGAAGTCATTGGCCGAGCATCCTCCGCTTTGGACCATCCGAGACACACGCTCACTCTTCAAGAAACCCTGTACATGAGACAAAAGAGGACAAAATAAACTAAATCTACCGTCATGCACAACAAAACTTTTACCGCTGTGGGAATATGACAACAAAATTAAAACACCATTCATCTTCATAAACCCATGCTTTCCAGATGGTAGCAATACATATACTACTTTTTGTCTGATGAATAAAGATAGATATTTGTTAAACTGGAATGGTGGTGCCACAGGAAGGGTGACCAACATGAACATAGCCCCTCAAACTTTTTCATTTTAGTTTTCAATTTAAGTATTGAAATGAATGAACACATATGGAATATAAACAAAAAATAACTGAGGCATTTAAATCAGATTCATCAGAATAAATTTGGTAAAAGATACTGAAAACTGAATGTAAAGCTTTTGAAACATAACCAGCATCACTAGGCATTAGAATTGACTCCATCACGTCATACCACTTTTCTTTCACTCTGTATACTCCCATCAATAAACCAATACAAGCATGAGGCAGACTTACGTAACACACTAAAGATGCTGTGGATCTGCTAATGTGTTTTATTGATGTTTTTTCACATTTCTAGACTATTGCAGGGAACTATGATGCAGAGGAAGCAGTACCAGGATTCCCCACTGATGAAGGTCAGAAAGAGGCTAATGTGATGGGATTGACAAATGTTTCAGTAGCCCTAAAGCTAGATGACTCAAAAACTTGTCCATTGCATTAACTAGCCAACTTTTTCCCCTCAGAAAGTTTGTTGTAAAAGGAAACTTTGTGACAATCAGACTGTTACTCATACTCATCTAATTATAAAATATCACTTCCAAACTCAAACTAAGAAAGAGCCATGTGAGTGAGGAGAGAGATGAGAGGTAATGGGCTGTCCAAGGGTGGTCTAGCTTGCTTCACTTTTCTATATTAAAAAGCAGTTCTAAAGCTTTTCTCAAGTTACACAAGTTCCCACAAAATTTAGACATGTGAATACCATAAATGTGAATATACCAGATGAAAATAGGTAAAAAAGGACATAAATTTTGATCATTTTGAAAGCTATAGGTGCTCTGCCAGCTGAACTTAAGCAGTCTGTTATTACATTGCACTCTTTTGGAAAAATCCTTTCTGGGCAGGAAGGATGTTTTTGTACCAATGAGTGGCCACTAATCCAACTCGAAACAGCTCTAAACTCCCAGGACCCTATCCTGGGAATAAGTTAGACAGATTTAAACATCTAAAACTCCTCTTACAATCATTTCAAACAAGGCTGCTAACCTGGGCAGTATTTGGGGGATTTAAAAAAGTGACAGTGGGTCTGGAGAGATAAGGAACAGTGTGATTGGTCTAACACATATCCAGATTTCTAACTCCGCCCCTGCAGCCTGGAATTGGCCACAGTGTCCACTAGAGCTAGGGCACACTCATGTTTATACAATTTTGACCACAAAGCTGCACATATACATAGAGTGCACAACAATGTCCAAAAAAGGACAAATAAACAATGTGATTTAAACACAATGTACACAGCTTAGCAGCGAAAATGTTTATATATAATAAAATAAACATTATAACATTACAACCAACTAACAATACTAGTACAGTAACCAAAAACAAAATGTGACCAAACTGTGGAAGGTTGTTCATTCCAAAAGACACAATAATCAAATCAATCAAGGTTATTTTTCAATGAAAGAAAAATTGGTTTTCCTAAAAACGAAAAGGTTTTGGACAGAGAACAATGGAGAGAATAAAATGTTCTCAACTGTGAGTGACCGAGATGGTAGAGGACTGGGCGTCCTGAATTCAAAAGTCACAGGTTTCTAATGAAACACAAGTATGAAACTGAAGCAGCTTTGTTGGTGTGAGCCTTTGTAACACGTGTGAAGCAAGCCTTGAGCATGTAGTGAGAACAGACGGAGGACAGACCACCGGCCTGACACCAACTGCAAAAATCCAAGGCTCAACAATTCTGGGAAAATATAATTGTGATTTTTCAGACAGATATGGTAATATTAAGACAGTAAGACAGTGACCGCCCATTCCCCAGGACCAGAAGTAAATTTTCTATTCATTTTTATAATATTAAAAGGTTGAAAGCTTACTTAGGGCTAATCAGCTATGTGGTAACTAATAACCACAAGAGTTAAAATTTGATATAAAATCTGTTTCTGAAACTTGATAATAGGGCCTGACAGATATATATCGGCTGGCTGATATTTTAGACATATCGGCCTAAATCTAGCCAATATGTGCCGATAGTCCATGTGAGCAGGTTACACCTTGTTATAAAGTTTAAACTCTCTATATTAAGTCCATTTAATCCTATTTACGGAGAGCTAGAGAGATGTCCTAATATATGAAACGGCATCACTATTTATCAGGAGTAATTCACTGGCTTTAAATGCTCTTGTGTCTGATATACGATACTGAGAATAAATAAAAGTTAACTTCAGATCAGTTTAGGCCAGCAGCAAAAAAACATGCAGCAGGCATGTTTTTATCAAAGCGCAAATGCGGATACAAAGGATTGTCCCACAGACAGAGGACACACGCATCTGTTGTCAACATGCTGGATTATATTCTTTTTATGGACAATCATTTTGAGTCAGGATTAAAAGGACACTTATTTGTGAAGACTTGTGATCTGAGAGGTGCCTGTAAGAGAGGTGAGTATTGCAAATGCTTTGGTTTTGAAGTTACTGTTTGTTCTCTCTCATTGGTTAGCACTTAGCTGCTATAAGCTATTGGCTGTTTTATTGGGATCATACTGGATCCAAAATAATCCATATCGGTTGGGCCCTACTTTATAAACCACTTAATTATTAAAATATGCATAACAGCGTTATGGATATTAGTTGTCTTGAACTTGATCTTTTAGTATTTGAAATTTTTGAAAAGTCTATCACAAAAATGTATGGAAAATTTGTTTAGTCTGAATCAGAGTTTGCTTGTCTTCATTCACACCTGAAATAAAATCTGAACTTTCATGGGAACCAAAGTCCAGTCCTTTTTAATCAGACTAAAGCCTGTAGGTGTGAATACTCAGATTCTAAAGCTATTCAGGAAAGTTTCATTTTGTCCTGTGAATTAACCCTAATCTGAAATCTTGTATCTTGTTTTCAGTACTAGTTTTAGTATCATAGTATTGAATTTTCAATACTTTTACAAAAAATAAATTCAAGTGCATTTAATCTTTCAGCCAAACATTTTAGCATTCACTATCCCATCCATTCATACATTGAAGAGTACTACAAACATACTCAGATTTCAGACAGATATCCAAATGGTCCCACTGTCATGTTGAGTGCTCTTATCTTTCATAAGTCTAACAGCAGATATATTGTAAACTCAGTCATGATCTGAGTTGTGTTGTTCATCTAGTCCATCAGCGCAGCCTAAAGCAGTAATTATTCAATAAGAGAGACAGGAGTGAAGATGGACTAATGGAGGAACCGCCAGCTCATTTCAAAGGAGCACATTATTTTTGCATGGCACAATGATTACGGTTTTCAAAATGGCTGATTGGTTTTGCACCCAAATTCAAATGGACTGCGGATGGATCCCACTGCACGGTCTGAGACAAGAATAATGATGTTGCTAACACCAAATGGAAAAGAAGACAGTAGCTACTTACAAAAAACAAACTTCATGCCAAGGAGGGAGATACATCAGTAAATGTATAATATTGTAATGATCTAATATTTCGCATTGACACCTTTTGTTGTTCTTGTAACTATGTCATTGTTAAAGGTGCACTGTGTAACTTTTTGGGGGATTCATCACGTGCATGTTTCTATGGATATGCTCTGAGTGGAATGTTACACAGTATGACATTATACAGCTCAACCTTACACTTATTAAATTACAGGTGGGGTTAAAGCTCAAAAATACCTAGAAAAACAGGCATTATAAATTCTGTGGTTGCCTCTCCACAGATCTTACCTATAATTTGGTCTGGTTTGGTTTCCATGAAGATAGAAAGGTTTAATACCATACTGTGAAACATTCCAGACAAAGCAATAACACCTCCACAGAGAAAAGCATGTGACGGCCCTACACCAGAAAAGTTACACAATGCACCTTTAATGTAGCTTTTGTGGGAGACATTTGGTTGCTATGCCAACAAGTTTGATGGTTCGACTTGTCAATTACTGGTCAGTTAGGGAAATGGCTCTAATGAGCTGAGTGTTGTTGTAGTCCCAGTGTTCAAATTACAATTTTAAGTCTAGCTTTTTAATTGCCCTGGAAAAGTTACTTAAAATAGAAAATAAAATATAACTAATTGGCAGTGAAATTACTCAAATTCAAAAGTCATAATTATGGACTTTTTGGCATGTATCTTTTTACCTCAAACTTCTTCAAACTTCTATTTCCATATATTTCATAGTGATATCTGAAACTTGACACTTTAAATTAATTAAAACTGAAATGCCATAAAATGCTCTATATTTACTGGATCTGCAAATTTTATTACTTGATTTGAGTTGTTACTGTAATACTCTTGTACAAACATTATTTTTCTGCCACAAACATCTGAAATGCAGTAGAATCACTCATTTATCAATTTTAGTATTAAATAAGATAATACTAGGCCTATTAATCCTTATGGTCACTCTAGTCACTCTTGCCATCAATAAGCCAATACTGACATGCAACTGGCCACTTTTCACAGTCCCCCCCCATGCAGGTGCATTTAAGTGTTCAAATGACAATGGGACAGATGACGTAGTAGAGGAAGTACTAGCAGGAATCCCCAATATTGACATATAGCACCATGAGTCAAGTTCAGTGTTTAGTACGACTTGAAAAAATATCTCTGAGAAGTCTGTGCAAGAGGCAAGAGAGGAGCACGCTATTCTTGTGTACAGCTCACTTAGACTTAGGCTTAGACAAACTTTATTAATCCACAAGGGAAATAAATTGGGCACTGTATTTTACAAATAACAATAGATTATAGTAGCAAATAACAGAAATCTAAATTGTAATAATAAATTCAAAACATACAAAAAAAAAAAACACTATCACACTATTA